TCCCTCTGTTGTGTTTAATACTATTAATTTTATATTCATTGAACCAGAGAGGGCAGGAAAGACTTTATAGCCCATGACTTCAGTATTTCATATCATTAATTTGGTCCAAACTATGGATCAATTTTTGGTCAACCTTGTCAATAGTTTTGCTTGTCTGGAACCATATACTAAACCATGTAAAACTGTGTAAAAAACCCAAAGAAACAAAAAACCAACAACCAACAAACAAACAAACGAGCCCCTCCACTAACAAACTTAAAAACCCCATTGCTTGGTAAATAACCAACATGTGAAAGTTTATGCACCTCTGCTCATGGTATCATAGTGTCTTGAACAAATTCTTGGATATATTTTACAGATGAGTTAGCAGACCCTGGGAGAGTTAACCTGATGGGCCTATGGCCCTATGGAGAATCTGGAGGAGGTCCAGGGAGAGAGGTCACGGTTCCTACCTCCCACTCGTGTGCCTTGAGCGCAAGGTGGTTGTTGCTAACACTTTGCCTTCCCTGATCAGCAGTCCCAAAGTAAACAAGCAGCATACCAGTTTTGGATTTCAAAAGGAACTGGTGATTTTGAGACCCAGATGTCATAGTGAACTCTGACTTTTCTGTCAAGAGTGAACATCATCTATCTGAAAATCAGATAAGGGAAAGCAACTATTTTGACAAAAAAATAAAAAAAAAAAAAAAGAGAGGGGGGAAGTCTTGCCCAAAAGATGTCAGCGTGGTTTTGGTTTGTTTGGTTTTGCTTTTTTTTTTTTTTTCCTCCAAAGAGACAGAGACATGAGGGCAGCAATTAGAGCACTAAAGTCACAGTCCAAAAGAATGCCCCTGCTCAGGTGGTTGATGTGTGGTGCTCTCCTGGAGGACCGTAGCAGGGTCATCAAGGTGGTGGGATGTTTCTGGGATGTAGGGAGAAAGTGAAGTTTGGGTTGTTTTTAACAGCTACCTCCTGAACCCTTCTTGCATCCTAAAAGGAGACTGCATGCTAACTAGCTGCCTGGGGGTCTTGGCTGTTGAGCAGCCAATTTGCATGCCGATATCAGTCTGTACTATGGTCCACATCAAGCACTGGTTCTTCAAGCACTTGTCTTGTGTCCAAGTGCTTTGTTTTCATTACATTTTGTGACAGCATCTATTTTCAACACACTTCCTGCAAGACTTAGACAAAACAAGTGCTTTTGCAAAAATTCCACCCGGGCCATATGGAGGGTTCCTGAGTGTAGGGCTCTCATGAGCCCTGACTAGGAGTTGTTTCTCCAGCATCTTGGCTTCTTAGTTAAAGAAGAAGAATTGAACATGGAAGGAAAAGAAGGAAAACAAAGCTCGACTGTGTAGGAGAGGAGGGCAGTCGCGCTGCATGGTGCGTGTGCAGCGCTGCGCTGCCCGGCCGCTCTGTTAGTAACATCACCTACACACTTAAGAAACCCCAATTTTTTTTTTTAGGTTGTTTTTGTTGTGTTGTCCCTTCCACCACCTTTCCTTTCCTACCCCCTCAAGTCCTTTAGCAGAAGGGAATGGAGGTGTTGGGTGAAAGGCAGTGGTGGTGGTGGCTGCTCTTCCCTCTGCCCAGAGTAGTCGGACAAACCGGGGACAATTCTCCCTCCCTGCTTCGCTTCCTGAAACCTCATCAAGTGGACAAAATATTTGAGAATCACCACACTGATTGACAGGGCATGTAGCACAGAGTAGGGGTTGAAGAGTCCTCTCCAAAGTTACCCTCTGCAGAAATAACTTATCCCCATGACCTCAATTTGTTAAGCAGCTCAGTGGCCCCAGAGTCACTTCATAGTTTCACGTTAGAGCTCTCCTGATGGCCAGTGAAACCTTCACGTCCAGCTGCTTTTCACCTTTCCAGAAGTATGGATTGCATCTTACCATGTGTTCGTAAAGCTGCCCATTCAACAAAAATACAAGTACTCTGAAAATACGTGTTTTATTGAATCTAGTTATTACTGCCAATGATACAATGATACTCAATGAAATGCTGTGCATCTTTAGTGACTGCACTGTTTAGCATTGATGACAATGCTAATTTTTTCTGGGGAAAAGCAGGCTGGCAAACGTGCATGCAAAATTTTGCAGCGCTCTCATTTTAAAATTGTAGTGCTTCTCCAGCCCTTTATCTGTTGCCATTGGTCACTGAAGGCTACACTGGACAAATCACAGGAAAAATACACCGTCAACTGATGTCTCTTAATTCATTATTATCCCAGGTTTTTACTGTCATATGTTGAGGAGGCTTACCTGGGGCAGGACCTTGAGCTATTGAGCAAACCCAAATTGATCAAGTATTGCCTGTTCCAGACAGCTTGTAGCTTAGTTTAAGGGCTGCAGGGCTTTGCAAGGAAGAAGAACTGCTCCGGCAAGGTGTTAGCAAATTGCTCGTGCCTGTGGAACGGTCTGCTAATACACAGGCAGGCGCTGGCAACAAGACGGTTTGTAGAGCAGGTTCAAAAAAAACCAAACAAACAACCTCAAACAACCCCACAGAAGTTTCGAAATTATTTATTTTGAAAAAATTTTACTTGAAAGTGTGCATCATAGAATACAGCAGAAGAGTTAAAATAGTATAATAATACAAATGTTGTGTAAAGGAACTACATAAGAGGTATAAATTTACAAGCACCACAGAAGATAAAAATCTAATGGAGGGGGAGAAATGCAAAAAATGGGTGACCAGCGTTTCAGGCCCAACAGTTGTTTCAACCTTCAAATCTTAACGTGTGGGTAAATGAGGAGCTGGGGGGTACCTGCCGGTGGGAAGCTCAACATGGATGTGCATTGAGAGCCAGCGGAACAGTCCTTCATCTCCTACATCTCCTAGTGTACAGCTGTTAGCGTGAGGCTGCATTAGTGCAAATACAAGGGGATGGATTTAATTTGACACCTTGCTTCTCACCAGACTAGATTTCATCATTACTCTAATCTTTGCAATCTGTGGTAAGCTAAAGGGTTGTGTTCTTGTTGCTGTTTTACTTTTCCTGTGCTGAGTTCTGGCTACGTAGATAAAAGTTTCATGCTTTTTATCACCTTTCTCTGTCATCCTTTCCTCGGAGTCTTCCTCTGTTCACATCTGCTGTGAGCCTAACATGTGCTACATTTGTAAGCCCCTGATTTCTAGTTTACAAAAAAGTCTATTAAAGGCTACTGGCTTTATTACATCCACTTTAGCATTCTCAGTGTAGTTTTCAGGACTACCCTTCAGTTTAGGAACAGTTTTAGCGTTCAGTGTATTCTGTGTGTTTGTACTTGTGTTTGTACAGCAGGTAGTTCAATGAAATTTTAATTATATATACATATTATGATATATTATAAAAATATTACATAGGTGTATTTGGGAAGCATTTCTTTTGTTTCCCAGGTACAGTCAGGGTCATATTTCAACATATTCTCTGCATTAGGTCTTGGGAATGCGTTAACAGTGGCAACTGATACTCTCACATGCAACATGGTAGGGTTTTAAAAAGGAAAGTTGCAGAACTGAGAGAAAGTCATGAAATGAACTGTTTGGTAGCAGATGATACCCACAGAAGGAAGCAGAGGTAGTCCTGGAATCAGCCAGGCCATGGGAGGCAAAAGGAGGAGGTGGGAACATTCCCTTTCTGGGAGGATCCCCCTTCTTGGAAGGATGGAGCAAGAGAAGCAGAGAGGTGGATCGCTTCTCCCAGGAAACAGCAGCCGTACAGATTAACTCCTTCAGTTTTGCTTTTATGCAAAGTGGGTGCAAATCTGGCCAAGCCTGGGCCAGGATCTGCTTGTAAGAGCAGAGAGGAGCATGTTTCAGGACAGCTTACACAGTAAGATCATAGGCCCAAGCAATTGTGCTGTATGTTAAGTTTCTTTGCACACGAGATTTAGTTTCAGATAGAAGGAGAAAATCAAGGCTAGCTGGGATCAGGAATGCTAATACTAGGGAGAGCAGCTTCATTTTGTTTGCATCTCTAATGTGTCTTGTGTTTTACTGACAGCTTTTAAACAGTAGGAAAACATGTAAGCATCTTCCTAGCGTTCCGCTTAGGGTTCTGCAGATGATAGCTGACCAGCAAATAACTCCTACCGTGTTCTTGCAGCTGTGAGAAGTGCTGGGAGCTGCCTTCTGCGGGCTTTAGTCTGTCCTCACGCTCAGAGAGGTCCTCTGCAGGAGTCAGCCCAGATCCCTGAAAGTGGCTTTCCTGCAGTCAATCTATTTGGAATAGAAATTAATTTGATACGACAGTTTTTATTTTTAAAACCAGCTTTCAGCAGACTATCACGTTGATAGTAGCCAATAATGACCACTTGTTGCTCAAACCCCTAAACAGCTATGTGCTTCTCCTTCATTTACAGGGACCCTCGTGGGAAACAGTTATGATTTTGCGAACTCTTGGGCTTTGCAGAGTGAAAACAAGCGGTGCAAGAGAGTGCAGACTCCAAGCAACACCTGCAACATTTCATCTGATATTGCAGAGAAGGTTGGTGCCACAAGATACCTTTCTGGTTTCGGCCCTCCGCTACCTGAAGGCAACTTGCCTGCCCTTTGGCAGAACACAAATGCTTCCTTGAATCCACGTCTGTACCGAATGTGGTCTTCCCTCAGCAAGCGGTTAGGGTGCGAGGTGCAGGAGATGCCTGTTTTGGGTTTCTGAGGTGCAGTGTGGTCTGAGATAGCTATACTGGGCACTGATCTTAGCGCTTCACTGGACCAAGGTGTGCAACTCCTCATCCCGCCTGGCAGGAGTTAACCATGGGGCTGGCGGTGGCTGTATGTGGGTCCCTGCCGTGGTGTGCTCCCGGCCTCGGGCTGGATGCAGGATGCAGCTGTGTGCTCGTGGTTCCTGAGCTGATAACTATGTGCCCTCCCTGCAGACTCTGACTGGTGCTAGCAGAAGGATTTCTGCACCGGGCTGGCTGGTGCTGTAGAGAAGTGACCTTGGAGGCCACATGTTATGACTGATGTCTTATTTACATGCAGCGTTGAGAAGGGAACAGTTTACTCACTAGTTAGTGAATGCAATTATTCTCTCGTGCTGTACCCTGCCTGTTGCAATTCTTTCTAAAACTGTAGTACATACATACTCGCACTTCCTCTCCCACCCCTAAAACCCAACACACAAGCATCAAGCATAAATAAAGAAACTAACAGCTCATCTGAGCCTGAAGTGTGAGTTGCAGCCAAAGAAACTTTGGCATTACTTGGGGAAGGGGTGTTTAAGTGGTGCCTGCAGAATGAGGTAGTTAATTCCCTTTCTGATTCTGCCCGTTCTGGAGCCTCTGTGGGCACCACCACCACAAATAGTATTTGTGAATGTGTTGCGGTTCATATACCTGGAAGTCACCAGAGCAGGGAGATGCTTCAGCCAGGCTGTATTTGACAGAGGAGATGTTCTCTGTAGGTGTTGCAAAGGCTCTGTGCCACCGGGCTCTTTCTGTTGCCAGGAGGAAGAGGAGGTTCCTTCAGCTATGCATATAGATAATAGCTGTGATTTGTTGAAGAAACGCAGAACTGCTTGTCTCAGCCAACTCCGTGACCTCCTTTGCTGCATCAACCTTTTTCTTCTCCTCTGTTATGAGTATAAACATATTCCCTGTTTCCATTAAACACAGGGCGGACATGCACAGATGGTCACCGGCTCAGGGAGGAAAGTAGCTTTGAATATATACTGACTGCATGCGGTATTACGGGTTATGACTGTCGTGGTAAATTGAGCCTTCATCCACTGAGGGTTTGCATCTGATCTCACGTACTCTCTTGTAAATCAGAATGATTGGGTGGGTGCCAGGTTTAGATGTATACCAGAGTAACTGAGGCCAAAAATTAGCCTTCAGTTTCTTGTTATACAAGTCTTATAGACTGATACTTGTTAAACCAGGCTCAAATAATTTCTCAAGAGTAGTAGCACTTCCTGGAACATATCTACTCTACACCTACGTTGAGTGCTGGTTTCCTAGTTACCTGGAAAAAGCTAAGACTCGGACAAGCTTGCAGCATTCTGACTGTTTATACTTCCACTAAGCTTTTGGATGGGGATGCTTGTATTAAATATGTTCTGAAATTCAGCGAAGCATGCTCATGCCCCTTAGCACTACAGCTTCAGCCTTGCAGCCTGCAAACTTGGCTGAGGAAATACAGCAGTGATTTCAGGTTGGAAATCTTCAGCCTATGTTTCTTGCTTGAGCTGAGCCGGTGTGCACGGGGTGTTTCTGTCGGGGTCAGGACTGATTGAACATCTGGCTTGAGTAATGGTGCATGATGCCAAAGTGTGTGACTAAAGAGTGAGGGGTTTCAACCTGGCTGAGATCTCTCCTGAGGGAGAGGACTGTGTTGTAAACCTGGTTACAGCCCTAGAGCAGGGCTAGTTCTTGTGACTGGTTGTGGCCGCTGGAATTTTATCTATTCAGGCAAGTGTAATGTTTAGAAAATGTCAACATTGCAACGGAGGCCAGGGAGTGGCATGCAGGGTGAAATCCTGTCTGATGGGTAGACTGCAACTAATCTAAGTTTTATACAGATCACGTTAAATATTGATGCTTTGTTGGATAAAGTTTGCTCCCCTGCAAACTGGATGAAATTATCTTCTCTCTCGTGTGAGTTCATGAGCTCACAGCATTTAACATTGGCTTAATTTATTCACTGTGTAAGAATAAACACAGGGCTATTAATAGAAGTCCAACCAAACGAGTGCCTGCTGAAGAATGTAGGGCTTTTTAATAGCGTCCTTTGTTTGCTTGCTTCAGCTTCAGGAATGTAAATCTCCTCCTTCTCCCAGCCTCCCTCCCTGCCAGGCAGTCAGCTGCTAGGTGAAGAAAACAACAGCTTTGGTTCGGTGCACTCCTCCTGCTCCCGTCCCCACATTTGGGGTAGATCTGTTGTTTTCTTTGCCCTCTCTGTCCTCCCCACCACAACAGCAACCTCAGAGAGATGGCTTCTGACTTCTTTGCAAGGTGCAGTGAAGCCAGAACCCCCTGTTGCTCTTTTATCTCCAAATCATAGAAAACATGGGCAATGTTCTTTAACAAGGAAGCGCTCTTCTCTTGATTAGTGGCTCCATTTATCAGCTGAAGGTCTGAACCCAGCTCACTCCCTTACCCTACTGTTGCTCTGGGCTTTTTCCTGCCCTCCACCTCCAAAACACATACACACTTACATGTGTTTGACTACTGCTCTGCCTGCAGATACGGTTTCTTCTCAGATACACGTTTTCCTCTCCTAGGGCTGGAGGCAGCTTGGCGTCTGCACGGTGGAACTGCCTTTTGGCTGCCTTGTCTTGTGATCCAGAGAACATGCCAAACTGGGTAGTATTGGAGGAAGGGAGCTACTACCTCCCTACCATGCCCTGCCCTCTCTAGCTGCTGTTTAAATAGTTACCGAAAAGAAAGAGCTTCTCTGTGTTGTCTGATCGATCTTTTTTTATCACCGCTCAGATGCGATGATTTAGGGTAGCCGTTCAATGAAGTACGGCAATCGAATAGTCTCTCAGATGACTAACAGCATGGGTAACATGGATCTTGGAGTATAAAATGTGGCGATGTGGATAACGGTGGTAATGAGGCAGCTTTGAAAACAAAAATATATATATTTTAAAGCCTTATTTATGCGTTCTTAGAAGTTCCCTTTATTTTCTAGATTTCACCTCTAATAGAAATGGTACATGGAGGCCACAGGTCACTGTATTTTTTCTTTTTTTTTCTTTCTTATTAGGAAACTATGCCTATAACAGGTTAGATGTGAAAATGACTGAAATTAGAATTCAACTAATTTCTGCTTTTGCTGAAATTCAGCTTTTGCTGCTATTGGTAAGAAATAGTCCCATTTATGTCCCATGGAGTACTTCCAAGGGCAATAAAAAAATAACATTTATCCCCAGATCTGAAAGCAAATGGGAGAGGTTTTCAACTTTTGGACTGTAATTTGTAATCATAGAATCACAGAATGGTTTGGGTCGGAAGGGACCTTAAAGCCCACCCAGTTCCAACCCCCTGCCATGGACAGGGACACCTCCCACCAGACCAGGCTGCTCAAAGCCCCATCCATCCTGGCCTTGAACACTCCCAGGGATGGGGCATCCACAGCTTCTTTAGACAACTTGTGCCACTGCCTCACCACCCTCACCGGGAAGAATTTCTTCCTTATATCTAACCTAAATCTTCCCTCTTCCTGTTTAAAGCCCTTGCCCCTTGTCCGATCGCTCCATGCCCCTGCAAAAAGCCCCTCCCCACTTTCTTGTCGGCCCCTTTAGGTACTGGAAGGCTGCTCTGAGGTCTCCCCGGAGCCTTCTCTTCTCCAGGCTGAAAAACCCCAACTCTCTCAGCCATAGGAGAAATGCTGCAGCCATCAGATCATCTCCGTGGCCTCCTCTGGACTCGCTCCAACAGGTCCATGTCCTTCTTGTGCTGAGGACCCCAGAGCTGAAGGCAGGACTGCAGGGGGGAGTCTCACCAGAGCAGAGCAGAGGGGCAGAATCCCCTCCCTTGACCAGCTGGCCACGTTGCTTTGGATGCAGCTCAGGGTACGGTTGGCTTTCTGGGCTACGAGCACACATGGCTGGGGCATATTGAGCTTTTCATCAACCAATACCTCCAAGTCCTTCTTGCTTAATGGTAGAGGTCACAAGCAAGTCCAGCAAAGACATGGACATACAATACTTTAATACATCTTAGGGGTGAAAACAAGGCACCCACTCTATCTAAAATATCATTTTTCTGCTCCTGAAATATACATGTTAGCTGAATAAGCATTCAAGTGAAGTGACTTCTGTCAGTTGTTATTATGTTCACTCAAACATGCAGCCAGCATTTGGTGTACTGAACATATTGGTTTTGGATGCTTTTTGGTTGGAAAGATGGGAGGCTAAATCATTCTCCCTTTGAATGAACCAAAAGAAGATGTATTCTGAAAATCTATACCCAATTATGGTACCAAAATATACCCTTTCTGAATGATCTGGAGAAACACTTCTCTGTATCTGTATACCATAGGGTTTAAATTCAAGGGAACAAGAGGGGGTGTCTGTTTTCTGTTACTTTTTAGGTTATATCTCTTTAATGGCAATCGTTAAGCAATATACAAATGCAGTTCATGCAGCAGCAGAAGGCAATGCCACAGAAATTGGAAGAATGTACAAAATTCCACCTACAGCTCTGTGTGGCGGGATTGAGGCGGAAAGAAGGTCAGCAAGTTTGTGGTTGCAGTGGATAGTCAGTGCGAGGACACTGCCAACCCGTTTAAAGAAACACTTCACATGGAACTCATGCAGAAGTCAAGGGAGAAGGTTCAAGACCTTCACCTGTATTTCAGATACTGCAGTCAGTTCTGCTAGTTTTAATCTTACAGCCACCTGTGCTCTAAGCACTATTTCAGCCTGAGGCTTCACTCCCTGGTCTGTTGGTTTTAGATATTTCTTTGTTTATGCAGAGCCGCTTCCAGGACTGTTGCTGCATGAGCAAGAATGCTACAGCGGTGAGTGAGACTGCCAATATCTGATGCTCACCACGTATGTGCATTGACCCCTAAACTAAAGAACAAAGACCTCTCTTAGTTCAGCCTGACCACTGAGTTTTAAAGAAAGGACAGAGAGAAAATAAAAATAATTTGCGGAACGGTTT